TCATTAGCACCTCTAGTAATATATTTACTGAGAAAAATGGTGACGTGTTCAATACTTATTTTACCCGCTGTATCTTTTAAAGCCAATGAGCTGCTGATCAATCTGTGCATCTTTAATTCAATCCAACTTTATTTGTAAAGCACTTCATGCACCACGGCAGACCAAAGTGATGTAGAGAATCAACGTCCAAACACAGCTCACGCAACACAAACTCAATCAAAAACACAGAACATATTCTAATAAAAGGAGTCGAATATTCTCACTCGGGCCAGGGTCAGCATGACGTCACTCTTCTTGGCCTTCGATTCTCCAAAGTGATGAAGGTTGAAGGCGCAGATCCTGAACTCTGACCCCGCCTGAGAATAATTCACACCCAGGAGGAAGGAGAGGAGGAAGAGGAGGGAGGCGGTCCTCATGTCTTCAAAACTGAAAGCTAGAATAAATTAGATCAATAAGAACAGGAAGCCACTTAATGAGGATAAAGAACATTGAAGGGAGCAGGAGGTCTCAGATATGAGCTGCAGCACTGAGCCTGATACMCAGTCAGTTTCACTGTGACCCTGCAGGTGAATCCAGGTGAATCCAGGTGACAGAACTGAGTTCCTCTCTGGTTTAGGTTGGGAACACTCTGAATTGTCTTTATGTTTTGTTGTTAAATGTTTTAGATTCTGCCTGAAGGAACTGGCTCTTATTGAAGTCGACTGTTCGTCTTTCTAGAAACTCTATGATGGTGGAATTCTGCTTTTGTTCAGTTTTTGGAAACTATCTTTAAAGATTGGAGCTCCAATGATCAACTGTGTGGTAATCTCCAGCAGATTAAGAATAAATATTAACTGGAGTTAAACATTCTTTCGGTTTTATCACATGTTTATGAATAACTCAGGTCCCACAGTCCCGCTTCCTGTTTCCACTCTCAGGAACAGTTAGTGTTGAGTTTAGCTGATGGCTAAATTTAGCATTCAGTAGGTTTTGTTAAAAGGAAATATTCTTGTTGAGAGTTAAAGTAGCAGAAAAACAGATGTTTTATCTGCTTTTCTGTGTCGYTGCTGCTGGAAGGAGATAAACTTACAGAGAAGAGACTCGAGAAGTTTCCAAATTTTAACTACAATCCCCCAAAAAACTTATTTTATTAGATTTTTACCTCATGAGACGAGAGTTTAAAAGTAAAACAAAAACAGTTTTACTTCAAAACTCATTAATTTAACAAAAACAGCGGAGTTTATATCGATTTCTAACAATTGTTTATTCAAAACTACATAATATGATATATTTTGGAGAAGTTCTTGACACTGAAGTCTTTGACTCTTCTGGTAATAAAAACATATATACAAACAATTGTTAATGTTATTCTTATTCTTATTCTTACTCTTATTCTTATTCTTATTCTTATTCTTATTATATTAGAAAAAACTGTAAGAATTCTTCCTGGAGGCTTAAAAGT